AGCACCATTACCACCTAATTTAACATCTTAAACTCTGAAATTACAAACAACAGTCTTTTTAATAAGTTAACTAAGGATAGGTAAATTTCCTATTTAGATTGTTATTTCCTCTTTTGGTTTATGTATAATTGTATGACCATGAGAACATATAGCATCAATTTTTACATTTTAAAATTATGAAATGAATTAATTAATTTGTTATGCTAAATGATGTGTAAATTTTAGATCTAAATTTTCGATTTCAGCTTCTTCTAAAGTATGTGCATTTTTTAAAAGATCTATCCAAGATTATTCATAAAAATAAGTTAATGCATTCAAAATTTTATAGTGCCATTATTTTGATTAGTTTTCAAATTGAAATTAAACTAATGCTAAATCTATTCCATCTAATGAAGTTCCTGACATTACTCCAACTACCATATAATTTTGTTAATCCATTTAGAATTAAAATTTATTTAGAGAAATAAAATAATTGAAAATATATTTATATAGAGTATCTACTATGAGATTGTCGATACGAAGTGTGAAAGATATTTGAAAATATTATTCTAAAAAAATAATATTAATTATATATATATAAATTATGGGATCTAAATTGAGTATAGACAAACATGTTTCAAATTTAGAAGATCTTTTAGAACTCAATACAAAATTATTAGAGAAGATTAAATTCGATAGTAACATTCCTGAAAGCATAACTTAGCACTTAAAAGTATATATATTTCAAAATAATCAGATTTGGAAATTTTAAGAGGACAAGCACCCTTTAAAGAAAGTTAGATCTGAACCAATAAATTTAAGTACGATTTAGACAAGTGGGTTTAATTTTTTATCGAGTGAATGCTATCTGGTATTATTAGTATATAAGAAGGCTTAAGAAGGTAAAATATTGTATAATAAATATAGAGTTCAATCAATTCACAAATTTTCCACATCAAATGTGGGGCGTTGTTGAATCTTATTCTAATTTGACCCCTAGAGGATTAGAAGAACCAGTGGCAGCATCTGAAAGTCATCTTGAATCATTTTTGTTACCTTAAAGATAATAAAATCCATCAACGTCTAATATTTATGAATATATGATATTTGTATGGAATGGTAAGACTGCTAATCCTTTAATAAAAGCATCAGCATTATCAAATGCTTTTGAATTAGAAAACTTATTAAATAGAGGAAGAGATCCATTACTTGAAATACTCTTTAGTGGTGGCATTATTAAAAATAAAAAATTATCAAAAGGATCAATATTGACATTATAAAGTAGTGCTTAAACATCATCACCAAAAAACATTGAAAGTGAAAATTAAGTTAGAGAAACTGTTTATCTATTTAATTTTCTATTTCCTATACCAGAAAAAAAGAAAGAATTCTCTAAATTGGCAGATTTTCTTGCAAAAAAATAAAATACATAAGCATATGCTTAATAATTTATACATGTTGATTTGAATGATGAACACATTTAAAATACAAATAATAATAAAATGGTATAAAAACCAAAATTGAATTTAAGAGAATCTTTAACTAGTAGAGATGCCTAACCTAGAGATGCATTTAGAGAATTAGCATTACCTAGAAGAAATTCAAATGAAATTAAAAATAAAATTAATGAAATTTCAGATGAAGGATCTCCTTCTATTTCAAAAGAAAGTTCAAAATAAATTTCTAGTCGTTCAAGAGAAAATAATAGATATGAAGATATTAGTCCATAACAATAACCTATTATTAATAATAATACATTTCAATTTAATTTACCTGCATAAATAAAAAGTAAAGTACCTGCAATAAACATTCCAAAACTTGATTTAAATTGTAAAACTCAATCTCAACAAGTTAGTATTGGTGTTCCATTAATTGAAGGTGTTGAATGTAATGAAAATGAAAAATTAAAACCAATGAAATTACCATTAGCAAGTTTGAAATTATAAAGAGATGATACTACATATTAAGATATAGAATAAGAAGACTCAAATGGATTTAACTTTGATATTAGAGATACAGATAGGAAAAAACTAAAAATTTAACATTTTGCAGAATAATGTTCATCTGTAATTCCTAATTTTTTATATGTTGGAGGTGAATAAATAGCATATAATAAAGAAGTTTTAAAATAAATAGGTGTTACTCATGTAGTAAATTGTGCAGGTGATGTATGTAAAAATAAATACCCTGATGATTTTTTTTACTAGACTTATTATTTGAAAGATTCAAAAACAGAAAATATAGAATGTATTTTTTATGAAGTAATTGGCATTATCGAAAATGCTAAAAAGAATAATGGAAAAGTGTTAATTCATTGTGTCTAAGGAGTATCAAGGTCAGTATCTTTATGTATAGCTTATTTAATTATATCATAATAAATTACTTATTCATAAGCATTTGATATAATTAAAAAGAATAGAGGAGTAGCGTCCCCAAATATGGGATTCACTGTTTAATTACTATTATTTTAAAAGCGTTTATAAGCATCATATGATAGTATACCTATTGCTCCAAGAGTATTTGCAGTTGGAAGAGGAGTTAGTGGACCTTAAAGTATTGTATGTAGAATGTTGATGGATTAATTATATTCTGGTAAAGTTTTGAGAACATTTGATAGTAGAGGAGTCTTTCTAGTACTTACAGAACATGATTTATATTTATGGATTGGTCCTGAATGCAATAAAACAGAAAAGTATTTCAATTTCATATCATAGATTCATTCAATATGCACTTGATTATACTAAATTTTTAAAACAATTTGAAAAAGCTCCTAATATTTAACCTATTTTAATGGAAGCTGATAATGAATCAGAAATTTTTTGGGGTTTATGGGGTATTGTTGGAAAACCTGGAATTATTTGTTAAAAAATAAGAGAATGGGATTAATGGTATGAAGAAGTTGATGAAAATGAATTTAATAAAGAAAAAGAATCCAATATATAATTATATAGTTCTGATAGAGTAGAAGAAATTCATGTTGAAAAAAAAGCATTTTATGTCTATCCTAATTCAGATGATTATTTATTGATGTTTGATCTAGAAGATTTGGATTAATCTCAATTATTTATTTTAATTAAAGAGATTAATAAATAAGTACTTTAAGTATATGTTTGGAGAGGATCAGAATGGATTGGAAATGATGATGTAATATCAATTTATTATTCTAGGATGAGTAATATTTTGTTCATGAAATTATAAGCAAAAATTATACCTATATTAGTGAAAGAAATATTTATGTATTCTAAGAGGTAACTATAATACTTTGATAAATTAGGAACCAAATGAAGAAAGTGATATATTTCTTGACTGCTTTTCATGACTTTAATTCAATATTATTCAATTTTTTCATTTATTATTATTATTCAATTTTTTTTATAGAACTTTTTAACTTATTATTATAATAGAAATACAATAAATAATAAATAATTAAAAACAATAATTTATAGTCATGCAAAATCTATAACTAACTTAATTTTATTTTCATGATGCTTAGTATTTTACAGATCAATAACTTTCAGACATTTAACAATAGAATGAGGAAATTATGAAAATTGATTATTAATACAACTTAATTATTTATTCATTTCCATCTAATGAATATATTAATTTAAAAGATCTTCTATTTTTTTAAGTAATATTAAATTTTAACTTAGAGATCTTAAATTTTGAATCTAAGTAAAAAATAGTTAATTATGATATCTATTAAAATTATTGAAGCATTTAAATTATTACCTAATAAAACCATATTTTATGATAAAATATGTACCTCAAACATATGGATTTGGGTATCAAATCCGCTTTCCAAGGATAATAATCATTAAATATAATTTAAAGCTATTTTTACCATTAACAAAAATGCTTCTTCTGAAAAACAAAATGAAGAGATTAATTATTTATCGATTAAAACAATCATCTAAGAAATACTGTAAAATACAGATGAAAAGTTACAAAAACAACTTGAATTTTGTAAAATTCGGGATATTTTCTTATATATTCTTGAATAAAATTTCGAATAAGTAGATTAAGAGTAAATTTAATGTGGATCATATGATCCTAAATTAATAGAAGATTTTTTAAAGAATCTAAAACTTAATGATGAAAAATTTTAAATAGAATTCGGAAAATCTTATGGAAACTTATTGAGAAATATAATTTTAAATTGGGCTATAAAATATCCAACATAATTTATCACACAGAATAATTTTAAAGCACTAACAATAAAAGATATAACAAAAAAATTAGAAATTGATGGTTGGTTTTGTACTTTATTTGAGAGATACAAAAATTTTAATTCTTAAATGGATTCATTAATTTATTGTTTATAAGTTGAATAAGCTCTAAATGATTTGGAAAAAATTTAAAATAATTCTAAAATTCAATCAAAGTTTTAAAGTTTAAATTTAGTTAATTTATAAATTAAAAATCAGCAAGAATTTCTTAAGAAGATGTTTCCTTAATAATGTTAGATGGAAAATTATGAATTTATTTTGCCTGATATAATCTAATTATACAATAAAGAAATTGACATAATAATTACTCATGGATTAAAGGTTATGAGTAATTTTTATAAACAGCCCCAATTTTTCTCAGAGATTAGAATATAATAATATAAATTTTATAAGATAGGTTTAAATAAATTAGATGATATACTCTTTGATAGTTTAAAAAACTAAAATTCTTAAAATAATCTAGATTATCAATATATTTCTAAAGAAATTAAGGAAAAGCTTGGAAATTTTTTTAGGGAGGAAATTTTTGAGGTATTGAAAAAGCTCGCCAAATAATAAAATAAATAGATAGCTAGTTGTTTAATATACAATAATCAAAATAAATATTGATTGTAATTTTTTATCTTTATTAATAAAATAAAAATCATCATTAATGAAATTTTATATTCTGTGATTAAATCAATAAATTTAATAGTTTAATCTTAAAAAATTTATTGATATATTTTTAACCCTTTGATTGGCTTTATTATAAATTAGTTTAGATGTTTCAAGTTAAAAACTGAAGATAGATTTTAAAAAACCGTAGTACATAAGAATTTCTAAAATAATAAATTATGAAAATCAGGACTAATAAACAAAAATAAAATGTTCACATTAATTTAATTTTAATAAGAATTATATTTCGAGCATTTTTCAAAATAAGTAAAATTGTCATTTAATAGAAAAAGCTAATCAAAAACAAATAAGGATACTTAAATAACTGCTGCTTTTCCAAAATGATACCAAGTTAATGGCGTAAATAATATATTCAAATTAAAAGTATCAATTTTAGATTAATCATTTTTGAAGGTTTGATAAGTTCTTGAATTTAAGGGATTATAATTTATATGTTCATCAATAAGTTTTTATATGTTTTAGTTGCATTTGATTTTATTACTTAATGTAGTAGATTTATTCAGTTTCAAACATTATATATAGATTATCTCCAATGATTCTTGTATTTACTTTTTAATTAAGCGCTTGCAGATAATTCATATCTTTAAAATGGTTTACAATTTTCTTTATCAATTATTTTTTCTCTTAATCCATCATGAATTTGAAATCAATTAGTTTATGGTTGTTATATCAACTTTAAAGTTTTGAGAGAAAAGTAATTTAGTTTTATTATATTTGTATTTCTTTTTGTTAACTTCATAGGCTAAGCGAAAAGTGAATATTTGATTAAATTAATATATTAGATATGAAAAATCTCTTAATAAGATATGCAGCTAGTATTGCTAAGCCAGGATAATAATTCCTTGTTTTATTTGGAGCTCCAGGAGTAATAAAGTTTATTAATATAGGTTGGTAAAGGTACTTTTGCAAAATTATTGATCAATGATACTAAATTTAACCATATATCAACAGGAGATGAAATTCGTAAGATTTTGAAAGGCAAGACATCTTAATCATTTGATCCAAAATTAATTGTGACAATAAAAGACATTGTAGCAAAGGGAGGTCTTGTATCAGATGAGATTGTGATGAACATTTTACAAGAAAAGTTAAAAGAACCTGAGTCAACAAAGGGAGTAATTTTAGATGGATTTCCAAGAACATTAAGATAATTAGACTTATATGAAAAGATTTTACCTACAAATGTTGTTGTTAATGTTACTTTAAGAGCAGATATTTTACTTGAAAAATTGGCTGCGTAATATTTAAAATAAAATTTATAAGACGTCGTACATGTGTGTCTTGTGGAACTGCATTTAATGTTTGTGATATCAATAGAGATGGTTATGTTATGGAACCATTAAATCCAAAGAAAGAAGGTATTTGTGATGCTTGTGGTGGTAAATTAGTGGTTAGAGATGATGATAAAAAAGAAGTATAATAATCAAAATTATATTTAGGTTATTGAATAAAGAATGAAGGAATATGATGAAAAAACACATCCTTTGTTAGATAGATATAGAGCTATGGGAGTTGTCATAGATTTTGAAGTTAAAAGAGGAAAAAAAGATTATCCTAGATTATGGGATTTAGTAAAATCAAAATTAAGATTTTGAAATAATTTTTATTTAGTACATCATATTTATTCAAAATCTTGTTGGTGTTCTATTTTATTCCGATTATGATTGCATATCCTATTATAATCTCCTTTTCACTATTGGATTTGTCTTAGCATCATACAATACTGGAACTGTTACTATTTGCTATAGTTTTGGATCATACTGTTTAATCTCTTATTTTCTACTCTGTTTTTAAACTGTACAACCCATTCTATGTTATATACAAATTAATATTTATTAAAATAAAAAAAAAGAAAAAGCAATAAACATCTTAGATTTAGATCAGATTCAAAAGGAGCTTTTTCTTTAAGGGATATTCTCTTGACTCTCATATAAAATTGATCTTGAAAGAACTTATTGTTTTTATTAAACTGGCCCTATTCTAATTGGCTTACCTTCCAATTTTATTCTTGTTATCAAATATTGTAAGGGCTCACTTTAAACTAACTCTTTTATTGAAAATATATCATTTAGATATTTCTAAAGGAGTTCTAACCTTTCTTGAATAAATAAAGGATTCTCATTTGTTTGAGATATTATCTTTCTCTTTGGATAAACTGGTAACTCAATTTTTAAATTTTCTTTTTTTAGCTCTTTGTGATATTTTCTTAAATCACTATATCTTGAAGTAAATTAATAATTTGTAGTCTTTTTTGTATCAGTTAAAGTTATTGTATATAAAACTACATCTTACTGAATTGCATAATCATCTATACTAAAATGATATCTTTAAACATATCCAGCATTGTTCAAAGTAGATTTACTTTTTGATTTAATATTCTTAGGAGTTTTAATTTCTTATCTCTCTAAAAAAGATCTCTTTAATTCATCCATTTATAACCAACAGACTTCTTTATCATATTCTCCACTATTGGTTAACTAAAGGGATTCTTAATATAATTATTGATGAGGTAGTAACTCTTTGATTGATTAAAATGATTGTAACTATTTAATGTTTATGATTTCTTCTAAATATTTTTACAATTCTTTGCCCTAAATAGAATTGATAAATTACTCTCTACTTAATTCCAGCAACAGAGTTTTTAGTTCTTCCAAAAATCTTTCTTCCTGGAAATTAAGGTAGATTTAAATGAAGTTTAAAGTTAGAATTTTTTTCTATAATTTTTTCATTTAAAGCTTTCAAGTCTGAATATCTTTTAGAAATCTTCCTATGACCTTCTGAACAATTAATGTTGATCTAATAATATACTTTATCATCAATAGTTTGATAATCATTTATGGTGACCGTATAAGTTTACATTATAAAAAATAATTATGATTATGTATAGAAATATAATCAAATAATGTAATAATTCAAGTTATGTATTATTAAATTGTAAAGATTTATTGTTTATTTTACTATTAAAAATAACTTATGGGGTGTGCTGCAAGTAAAAAATGTAAAAGCACTTTAAATGAGTAATTTACTTCTAGCAATGTTAGTCACTCTTAAACTCATTCAAATTCCATTCAAATGAATATAAAAATACAACCAGATACTCCTGACTTTCTACAGAATTTGAAAAAGAAATGAACCTTAAGAAATTGAAGAATTGAAAATATCATGAACATATATTTAATAGAAATTTACAATCATTTTGAAGTTTTCTCTAACTCACCACTGTTTGTTCTTGATATATGGGATGGCCTAGGATGAGCTTAGTACACATAAATATTTCCTTTATCTTCTTTAAGATTATGGGATTCTCGTAGAACAGTGAAATAAGTATGATTCAGTGCGTCTTATGAATTGATTCTCAAGACTGGATCTTTTTGAAGCATTTATTTGAGCAAATGCTTAGAATTCATTTCAAAAATGTACCAGAGCTTGAGGTGAATATCCATTAATTTGATATTCAATTGTGCAACGTCTATTTTTACTCATTACTGATTCGAGTGTATTTGCATCAAAACAACTAACTCCTCTATTCAATAACTTATAAAAAACTATGCCCAAACTAAAGATATCTCCTTTAGATGTGTATACTGATTACTCTCTAAATGATTCTGGAGGCAAATAACCAGGAGTACCACAATTACAAGAAATTTAATCCTCATTAGAACTTAAACCAAAATCTAAAATCTTTATTGTTTTATTTTAACACAAGATCATATGTTAAGGTTTTATATCTCTATGTATTATCTTATTCTAATGTAAGTAATCTATTATTTAAAGAGTTTATTTAAGAATCATTTAAATGTCTCTTTCCTCTAGTTTACTCTTTTTTTACTAAAATATAATTTATAACCTTACTTTTTGTTTATTTATAATAGAATCAAGGGATTATCCGATGACTAATTCAGTAATCAAACCATAAGTGTCTTCATTTAATCTATAAACATCATATAATTTGATAATGCCTTAATGATTTAATTAATTCAAAACAGCAACTTCAATTTCAATATTCTTTAAATGTGCCTCATTACGCAATTTGATTTTCTTTAAAGCATAATCTTTTCCATCTCTCAAACTTGTCACCTTGATTACCTGGTCATAGTAGAACTCATACTTCTGAAAATGTGCCTTTTCCCAATTAATCACCAATCAAATAATCTTATTTAAATGTCCCAAATGAAATTTTACACCCAATCAATAAACGAAAATGAGTTAGCTCACTCTCATCTCCATAATAATAATTAATTAAATCTCCTTATCTTAATCCAAAAGCTATTTCTCTTCCATCTTTATACAACCAATAGATAATTTAATGTATGTTTAATGGAACTTAAATTTAATCTAGGCTATTAATAGAAGTAATCTCTATTCTCTTTTTCATCACTGAAATACAATATTATACTGTTCTTGTATGTGCTATAAATTTAAATTACGGCTCAACATCGTCTTCTCCAGTCACAATTTCTTCCATAATTTTATATATTATAAATCATTTCAAAAAACTCATAACATTCCTAACTTCCAGAACCTCTTAGCCTTTAAAAAACACATTGACTTCTTCTAAACTCAATTCTACCTCTGCCTTTCTAGCCATCAACAAAACATTTGATTGTGAGAATTCTCCAAACTCATTCAACAAGTCTTTGTTCTATATTAATGCTTTCTTTTTGTATTATTATTTCAAATATCTACTTAATTGTAATAACAATATTAATTTTATAAACAGCATCTTCAAAACATTCATATTTATTGGTTGCTTTCTTTCCAATATTCTATTGCACTCTAATGAATTTTTGAATTCATCATAACTTTATCCACCAAAAAAATTCATCAATTACTCAACATCTGAATAATCCAGCATAAATTCTTATCCTACAATATCCTAAATCTTATTCTGCAAATATTAAAATTCTAATCTATCATTTATACTTAACAAATCAAATAACTTCATGGTTTCAAATTTATTTAATTTCTACAACAATTACTCTATCTATTAATATATTTAACTATGTTCCTTTATCAAATACAGAAAACTTCTTATCTATTTCCATTCATTTTATCTAACCTTATTAATATTCTTACCTCAAAATACTCTTTTATTTTTCAAATTCTTAAAAATTATTAATTCCCTATCGAAATTTTTTTGTATTTGAATGATATGAACATTATTTATTATTTATCCATCCCAATTTTATATCCTTATTTCTTAATTACTCCATCTCTACTTCTTTTTAATTGTCCTCCATACCTTATTCCTATTATCTAAATAATTTCTTCATATCTTCATATGTAACAATTCCATTCTAATCAAAATCTAATCTTCTCCAAATTGCTTCAGTATTTATTTTATAACCAAAATCACTTACTAATTAATTTAAATCTTTCTATTTGAATGGGTACTCTAACAACCCCTCTATTTCTATTGGGAATTGTTATATCTAAAGCAAAAAATAAATTTCATTTGCTATCAGAATTGATAAATGCTCTTTTATTAATTCTTATTCTTCCGGTGAACCTATTGTTTTTTAGAGTTTTTGTGTTAATTATGCTCTTAATTATGGTTTACTTCTTGGCAAACATAAATTCATGAAATTAGCGAAAGATAGTTTTACGTCTTTAAATTCAGAATAATAATCAATCAATAATTCACATTATTCTTTTGGTTTAGAAATTAATTTTGAAATTGCATCTAGTGTAATTTAATTTGAGTTTTGTTCATCAATAATTTAAAATGCTCTATATAATGTAAAATACTCATTAGAAGCCATATGAATTTTAGTATTTTCTATTTGTTCCTCCAAATCGAGAAGATGGATGATCAAATCGATAAAATTTTATCTGTTATTTTTCATAATAATTAATTAGTATAAATAAATTACAATACTCAATTAGAAATGAAAACTCTTAGAAATAGTTCTACCAATATTATGATACTGGTTTTAGTACTTATTTTTAGACAAGCATATTTTCTAATAGAATTTATAAATTGGATTACTTTCGGAATAAAATTAAAAGAATTGTTAAAAATATTCTAATTTTACTTCTGTAATGTTTAACAATCACTCCATAATTATGTTCTCTCATAAAAGACATTTTAATATCTTTACTTAACATTTTTGTACACCATTAAGTGATGAGAATTTTCATCTTAGGCCATTCAGAATCATTATGTAATTCATGAAATCCTTATTCAAATATTTTAAGTGTTTTTTCTTTAGATTAAACGAGTCTATAAAAATCAAGGGAATCTAAATGAGATGCAACTTTATCTTCTTTTCCATGTAATAACAAAATAGGGATTTTAAATTTAGTAGCATTAGGTAATATGAACTGTTAAAATAAAAGTACATTATATGCAAATTAGATACTCATATAAGGATGCATAAGATGATCTGTTGCAAGTCTTCTTATATGATGATTATTTTTTGAAGCATAAGATAAATTGTGATATGTATTAACTTAAAGATCAGGACATAGCTTAGTCATTAGTTTAAGAATAAGAATCTTAAATTTTCCATATTTTGCTGGTACTCTTAATTATGCATTGCTACAAATCAATCCTTAAAATTAAAATGAGGGATTCATTAAACAAAAACTAATCACCATTGAAGCACCAAGGGCATGACAAAATATAAATAAAGGAACTGATCTATCTATTATTTGTAAAACAGTGTCTAAATCCATGTGCATTTATTCAACTGTTGCTTACCCTCTTATACCACCAGAATAACCAAATCCTCTTTAGTCATAAAGATAAACTTTAAAATTATTGAGTAGAAAACAATCTATCAACTAGAATGAATCAATTTGAATTTACTTATTGATAATTTCCTGAATGTTCACCAAATCCATGGACTATAATTACTTAAGCATCTACTAATTAAGGAGTAAATTCCTAAAAATATAATTAAACTCCATGAGTTTTAGTATCAAGATATCTCCTACACACCTAAAATTTGTTTAATTAAGTACAGTGACTTTTGATGTTTATTAAATTCCTAAGAATAATGGATTTAATCCCTTCTTAAACATTTAACCGTCAGATTATATATCTGTGCTTTCTGTTCTTTTTGGTGAATCCATCAATCTCTCATCTGTGGTAGAATAGCTCATTATATAATTATTTTTTTGAACCTTAGAGTCAAATGTATGTGATTAAGAATGAGGTATTATCTTTCATTATGACGCAAGCGTTCATTAGATCAATAAATTTTATAAAAATAATATTTTCAGCCATTCAACCAATCTTTCATACCATTGCTTCTTAACTACATAAATCATTAAAGTTGCTAATCCATCTAATAATAGAAATATATCTAAACAAATTTTTTACATATGCTTCAAAACTATGATTTTTCTCTAATTTTCAACCTAATTTAATTTTTCTGACATTCAACTAATCAATTACAACAATAATAAAGATGAATTCTAAATAAATTATGATTATTTTATCCATTCATTTTACTCTCAATCTTCATTGAACAATCTTCACATCATGTAATTTTTATGATTTTTTAAGGAAACATCCCAAAACTTGTTTGTTTGCCATTAGAGTTTGAGGTTTTCTCATAATATTTTGGTATATCAATAAACGAAGTTTCAAACAGATTTATACATTGTATAATTATTGAAATTATTAAATTAAAGTAATTTGTAATATTATTTCACATATTTATCTTCACTTTAGGAATTTATTTAGAGAATTTTTTTTTTTTTTCTATATATCAATAATATAAAATAATTTGAGAAACTTGAAATTTGAAAAAGTAAATAAATTTTACAACTAATGATTTATTATATTGTAATTATTATGTCAATAGTAATTCGGTGTTTGTTTATTTCTCATTTCAGTATCCCTAGTCATTTTTAATGCCTATTGAATTTTTCTATCGATTTCATTTAATCCATCTTCTTGCTCTTCCTCTTGATAATACATTGTTGATGTCATATTTTAAGGGGACTATAATGTATGATATGGAGATTATTCAATTTATTAAGGTAAATGATGGACTGGTTGTTATACAAAATAATTTGATTAAGCATTTGCTAGTTCATTTAAATAAGGTTGTTATTAATATGAATACATATAAGACTGTTATGATGGGAATTATGGTTATGGAATTGGTTGCTATTATTAAGGTAATTAAGATGCTAGTATTGGTTATTGTTAAGGAAGAACTTATTATTAAAACTAATAAGGAGGCTGTTAAGGTAAAGAATTTATTTATGATGGCTAAATTACTTATTATTATTATGGTTATGATTATGATTGTGGGAATTATTATTGGAATTGTATTGGAATTTAATTTTGAGTTTATTATGGTTGATGAGGATGTGGCAAAGATTGTGAATATTATTGATATTGACCTCTGTATGGGGAAACAGATTGTTGTTGTGGTGGAGGCTGTTAATACAAAAGTGAAAATGGTTAGAGATTTAAAATTTGAACTTCAAATTATTTAAGGGCATCCTGATTATAAATATTGAAATTACATAAATATCTTAATAAGAAGGTCTTTCATCAGGTTATTCTTTTAATAACTCTCTAACCATTCTGTACCAAGGATTTGAATATCCAAGTTGCTTTACAGTTTCTAATAACTACTATAATAGATGGCCATCAATTCTATTAGCTTTATAAAGATTCTTTCCACTCATTAAAGTTGAGCACTCCAACAAAGTGACTCCCAAAGAATAGACATCTGATTTAGCATTATTTGAAGGATTATTAAGTGAATATAATTATTCTGGACTTAAATATGCTATTTCTTAATTGTTTATTTATCTTTAATAACCTGTTTGATCTGGTTTCAATATGCCTAATTCCTTAAAAAAGTTAATTATAATACTTACAGCCATTTTTAAATCATCTGACAATTAAATATTGCAAGGTCTGATATCTCCAAGAACTTTGTTTTATTCTTCAAGATAAATTCCCAATTTAGCAATAGTAAATAACATCTTCCATAATTCAGCTTCTGTAAAATATTGATTAGTTTGTCTCCTTGTTTCAATTGACTTTTCTAATGTGTAATCAAAGAATTCCAAATATACAGTAATTTTTGAAAAATCCCCACACCATTAATTTTAAGAATTTGAATGATATCCTAACAATTTGACTAAATTTTAATGCTAAATCTTAGATCGTTTTTCACAATTGTCTAATAGTAATCAATTTTATATTACTAATTGATGTTTCATATTCTGATGAATTATTGCACCAGATACTCTTTACCATTATGTAAGTATTCTATTATGTTTTGTAGATCTACACATCTCCGAAACGCAAGTCTTTTAACTCTCTCACTTTCACGCATTGTCTTTAGAATTCTTATACAAATTTCTCACCCTATGAAGAATTAGCACCCATTTTTAAATTTTTATAGTTAAAACATCATTAAACAACTTTTAATCCTTCTAATTGCAATATCTTATTATACGCATCCATTAAATCTTTTACAACATATTTTCCAGGGTCTTATGCATCGTTTTCACTTCCTCTGAACACTCCGCTTCTCACTAAAAATGATGGCCATCCTATTTAATTTGCTCCTCTAATATCACTTGCAGGATTATCCCCAATCATGTAGATATTACCTATATTATCATGTTTTTTATTAATATAAGTTTCTACATATTTGTAAGTATTAAGAGATGGCTTTCCATAATAGATAATATTTGGATTTATATTAAGTTCTTTCTTTAGAATAGAAATCAGTGCATTAGTGAATGTTCCAAATGCCAATCTTGGTAATTTAAAATAATCAGCGTAAGTAACATCATTATTGACTACATATATTGGTAAATCTTTATTTTCTTTCACCAATTTCGAAATTGTTTAAATACTTTCTTCCCATTTGATTGGATCAAAAACTATAAAGACTGCTTCAATTTATTTGTTTCTCATCAAATCCATATTTCTTTATTTGATATCAGTCTCATATTATTTTATAGTTTCTTTTTCATAATCTTTAAATGGAACTTAATCAAACAATGCTGAATATTCGTCTATAGTGTAAAAATATTTTAAATCACAATCCTTTGCTATTTCAGTTAGTTTGCCAGCTCCACAAATTAAAATTAATTTATTTTTGTATTCATCCATTATTGGTCTTAAAGGAGTGTAATTAAGAAAAACATGATGTTTTTTAAAATTTGAACCCATGATTCTGTTTAAAGAATTAGCTTTTTCCAATTCTGTGCATCCTCCTCCATTTGTTAATAAATAAAAGGGAATTCGAATATTATGTTTTTCTCCATTTGTGTAATGACAATTCAATAATTGCTTGACTACTATGTCTGAATTAGGAATGATTGACTTTCCTCTAATTAATACTCCGTCAATATCTGAGACTATAGCTGGGATTAATTTATTCATTTTTATATATAATTATTCATTTGAGAGAATCATAATAATTTCTCAATTTAATTAATTCATCTATTGTTTACATGTAATCTTCAATTTTATTTAGAGGCTTCAAATCACAATCAACTATTGAATATTGATAAAATAATTTTTGATTAGCTACTTCAACAAACTTTCCTGATCCTTCCCTTCTAAAAGTTCCTATAATTGATAAATCACTCAAGGCTTGAAAAGAGGAAAATGTTAATAATTTAAAAACTAATTTTTGTACTTCAGAATCTTAACATTTTCCATTAACAATATCTTTATATTATTAAGTAGTTAGATTTTTTGATTTAAGTTATTAATAAGCTTCAAATGTTTCTTCAACTGTAAGATTCATTTATTGAAGCATATGAAAAAATCCTTTAAGTTATTGAATAAGATCTTCAAGCAACAAAGTTTCGCTAATAATTGAAGCAATCTAATATATATTTATATAAATGATTACTTCTTCAATATTAAATTGTTCAATACTTGGGACTTGTTTTTATTGTTAATTGAAAAGTCTAAAATTGTTTTCAGGAATATCAGATAAATCAATGATGGCATCAAAAAGATTTTCAACTTTACCATTATAAAATTTCCTAGGATCATATTTTGAGATCAATGAGTCGATTTCATTTTTTGAAGATTGATAAATATTTTTACCAGATTGCTGTAATTTTTTGGAAGCCTTTAAAAGTTACATCATGAAAAATCTTTGATTTTTGGGATCACATAAGTCTTTATTTTCTTATTTGTTAGACAAAATAGGTAAAAATGTTTTTGGTTTGATTTCCACCGCAAAAACTACATTATAAAATAGATTATCCATAATTTAACATTATTGATCTCCAACCATATAGGGTTGTTTTTTTGCAAAATACTTTTTAAGAGGAGTCCAATCAGTATCATTGAAAGGGATGATTAGATTATTAGAGATTTCACAGATGTCTTTTGGTTTTCTAATTCTAATTACTTTGTCTTTAAGATTGGAATCATTGCCAATATATTAATAAACTATATGTTGTGCACCTTGTCCAAGAATTGTAAATTAATCCATTTTATAATTTAATAAATCAACGAGCTCCTTTTAATACGTTTAAGACAGCATCAATAATTTGTTCTGTTTTAGGAAATGCCATAGCTTCTAAATTAAAAGCATATGGTGTAGGTATTTCAACTCCAGTAACTCTTTAAACAGGAGCATCTAAATATTTAAAAGCTCCTTCTTCCATAATAAGTGCTGTAATTTCAGCTCCAATTCCAGACTATGGCCATCCTTCTTCAACACAAACAACTCTTCCTGTTTTTTTAACACTTTCAATAATAGTATGTCTATCTAATGGTCTTAAACTTCTTAAATTAACAACTTCACAACTAATTCCTTCACGAAATAGCTGTTCTGCAGCTCTAAGAGAATATTCAACCATTTTAGAGAATGCAACTATTGTAACATGTTCGCCTTTTCTCATAATCTTAGCTTTTCCAATAGGAGCAATATAATTTGGATCTCTAGCTTCAGCTGATAATTCAAATGATTCACTATATAAAATTTCATTCTCCAAAAATACAACTGGATTTGGATTACGAATAGCTGCCTTTAATAATGATTTTGCATCATCGCAATCATAAGGTGCTAGTACTACCAATCCTGGTACATTACTATACCATGAAGCAAAACATTGAGAATGTTAAGCTGCTACATATGCAGTTGCTCTGAATCATATTACTCATTTATTACCCATTAATCCCTCTAAATACTATAGATGCTTTCTAATCACCAGCACTCATATAATGAGCTTTTGCTGCAGAATTTATTATATGATCTATTGCTTGCATTGCGAAATTCCAAGTCATAAATTCAACTATTGGTTTCAATCCATAAAGTGCAGCACCTACTGAAATGCCTGTAAATCCAGCTTCTGTTATTGGTGTATCAATTATTCTATCACCTCCATACTTTTAGAACAGTCCTTTAGATACTTTATATGCTCCTTGAAATTATCCTACTTCCTCACCTAAAGTTTAATATTATTCTTATACCTATCAAAAATACATTTGGATCATTAGCCAGCTCTTCATCCATTGCAAGATTGATTGCTTCTCTTACTGTCATCTTTATTGGAGTTAACTATGTTGCTTCTATTTTGTTTATGATATATATTTATACATGGTTGATATGCATAGCGTAATTTCAATAAATTTCTATACATTAATTTTATGATATTTTTATTATGCATCTCCTCTGTTTTAGCTAGCTTTAATACTCAATATGTAACTGATTAGTTAGAAATTCAACATACCAATTTGAATAGTTCCAAATCTTATTTATTGTCAATGATAATAACACAAACTCCAACAAATAATTATTGCTTACCTTTGCTGTAGGTAATCATAAATGGCTAAATTTATAATGATTCATTAGCTTATTCGATTAAAGCCAATATTTAAAAAGTCTATTTTGATTCAACTGAGAATATTACTATCAAAGTTTGTTGTAATGTCATAGATTACTTTAAAAATCAAAAAAACATCAATAACACAATGTATTTTAATTTAACACTCAACGAAGCTGTAAACTTAATTTCTAATTTTAGAAATAATATATATCACCAACTTGTCAATTTCCTAATTATGGATAAAACTGCAGTCTTTCAATTTAGTAAATCCAAAAAGAATTTTCTGTAACAATATTAATTTTAAACAATACATGGTTTTATGCATACACTATTCTAGATGATGATAATTATGAAGTAATTTTTTCTCAATAATTTATTCTAGATTGTTGTTGAAAATGAAAATTCCTTATTTGGTATTTCAATCATTTCATTTGATAATATTAATATTACTGCACTTCCATCATTTTTTTTAAATTTTATTGTCCTTAAGTCTGATAGGGATCAATAACAGATCTCCTTATCCAATACTAAATAAAGTTCAAACAGTATCTATATTATTGGATTGTATAATTTCAATTCAACCTAAATTCAAAAAATTACAATCACAATTACGTATTAATAATTTATGAAAATAGAAACTCTATAAAAAATGAAGAATTTCCATTTTGGGCTACAATGCTTTTGTTGTCTATTGTAATCTTTGGCTTGATACTTTTTATTATAATACTAAGTAACTTTAGACAATAATACAAAAAATTAACTCAAATTAAACCTGCTTTGGATAGAAAAGTTTTCTAAAAGTTTATGCCAACTTTAAAAATAGACTCTAAAATGATTTCAGAAACTTGTTCTGTTTGCCTCGTGCAATTTGAACTAAAAGAAAAATATTGTCAAACCCCTTGTTAACATTATTTCCATTAACAATGCCTATTAGATTGGTATTCAAATAATTTTATTTTATGAAAGGACTACAAAATAGGCTAATTGTCCAGTTTGTAGATAAGGTTTACTTGAAAATGAAATCATTTAATTATTGGAAGCAAAAAGCAACAGAAATCGTGAAACAAAAGAGTTGAATATTTAGGAAGCAATAAAATCAAAGGATAATCCACCCCAATCTTAAACTTATAGGGATTTACCATTTCTTCAACTATCATCGTCTCCTTCTAGAACTTAGTATAAAATAGAATTGGATAATTCACCTTAAGCAGGAAATTCCCCATAAATTATTTAATTTGATGGATCTCCATAAAATCTAACAAATCGAAATCTTTGTTTTTAATCAGATGTAATTGTAGAATCATAAAATTGATATAATTTTCTCATGATTAATTTTACCTTTATAATCATTATANAATCATAAATGGCTAAATTTATAATGATTCATTAGCTTATTCGATTAAAGCCAATATTTAAAAAGTCTATTTTGATTCAACTGAGAATATTACTATCAAAGTTTGTTGTAATGTCATAGATTACTTTAAAAATCAAAAAAACATCAATAACACAATGTATTTTAATTTAACACTCAACGAAGCTGTAAACTTAATTTCTAATTTTAGAAATAATATATATCACCAACTTGTCAATTTCCTAATTATGGATAAAACTGCAGTCTTTCAATTTAGTAAATCCAAAAAGAATTTTCTGTAACAATATTAATTTTAAACAATACATGGTTTTATGCATACACTATTCTAGATGATGATAATTATGAAGTAATTTTTTCTCAATAATTTATTCTAGATTGTTGTTGAAAATGAAAATTCCTTATTTGGTATTTCAATCATTTCATTTGATAATATTAATATTACTGCACTTCCATCATTTTTTTTAAATTTTATTGTCCTTAAGTCTGATAGGGATCAATAACAGATCTCCTTATCCAATACTAAATAAAGTTCAAACAGTATCTATATTATTGGATTGTATAATTTCAATTCAACCTAAATTCAAAAAATTACAATCACAATTACGTATTAATAATTTATGAAAATAGAAACTCTATAAAAAATGAAGAATTTCCATTTTGGGCTACAATGCTTTTGTTGTCTATTGTAATCTTTGGCTTGATACTTTTTATTATAATACTAAGTAACTTTAGACAATAATACAAAAAATTAACTCAAATTAAACCTGCTTTGGATAGAAAAGTTTTCTAAAAGTTTATGCCAACTTTAAAAATAGACTCTAAAATGATTTCAGAAACTTGTTCTGTTTGCCTCGTGCAATTTGAACTAAAAGAAAAATATTGTCAAACCCCTTGTTAACATTATTTCCATTAACAATGCCTATTAGATTGGTATTCAAATAATTTTATTTTATGAAAGGACTACAAAATAGGCTAATTGTCCAGTTTGTAGATAAGGTTTACTTGAAAATGAAATCATTTAATTATTGGAAGCAAAAAGCAACAGAAATCGTGAAACAAAAGAGTTGAATATTTAGGAAGCAATAAAATCAAAGGATAATCCACCCCAATCTTAAACTTATAGGGATTTACCATTTCTTCAACTATCATCGTCTCCTTCTAGAACTTAGTATAAAATAGAATTGGATAATTCACCTTAAGCAGGAAATTCCCCATAAATTATTTAATTTGATGGATCTCCATAAAATCTAACAAATCGAAATCTTTGTTTTTAATCAGATGTAATTGTAGAATCATAAAATTGATATAATTTTCTCATGATTAATTTTACCTTTATAATCATTATATTAACTTTGATTGTAAATTCATAGGATTTACCAATTGTTAAAATATACATCGAAGCTCTTTGTCCTGAAACATAAACATCAATGAAAATGATATCTGATTAAACCATAAATTCATTAGATTAAATAGCCAAAGTTGAATTTATACCTGCTGGAGAAAGAAATTTAGAAAAGCATGAACCAAATACTTATATATTACTAATTGTTCGTTTGATGAATTAGAATGTTATGGAAATATGATTTTAGCATGTGGTCTTGAATTATAAAAAGATTAAGTTTAGAGTACTAAATTTGTGGGATGTTTCTTTAATCAAAATATTTCATAAGATTTTGACGAATAAATTGAGAAATATTTTGAGAATGTATAATAAAAATTACAAGTTAAAGCATGTGCTAAAGGGAATAGAGCTTTTATTTAGAAATAGATTGAGAACTCCTTTATTGACAAATGTCCCCTCAATATCAATAAATGGATAAATTGAGAAATTGTAAGTAGATTTTGGATAAAGAATTTGTTCTAATGTGGATTTATCAACTTTATTGTAAAGACATTAAATGGAATTGAACTGATAATAATTATTTTAGATTAAGTATTTCTAACGAATGCATAATAATTTGTATATAATATTGGAGTATTGTATAATAAGAGTATAATTTTTAATCATTGAAATTAGTGTGATATCTGACAAGGATATTTTTTGTATAAAATGATGATTTAATATATATTATTTTATTTTCTCAATATCTTCTTGGAGCTGTGATGATTTCGTAAAACTCCTCAAATGAGATTTATTCTGGGCTCTCTGTTTTTCTAAGAATGTGAATATGATGGATCATTTCATGCAATTCATCATCATTAAGAGTTTCACCCAATTCTTTTGCTACACGTTTAAGGTTTGTAAAATCAATGAATCCAGTATCTTCTGGATCATAAATTTGGAACAATTTGAATGCACCTTCTTTTGTTTTATTATTTCCCAATCTATCTGAAATAATATTAACAAAAGTATCAAAATCGATTGAGCCTCCAAAACTAATCTTAAAATGTGAATGAATACTTCTCTAAGTCTTAAACCATTTGATAAACAAACTTATTTCTAGCATCTACTCCTAAATCTTCAAGCACTTTTTTAATCTCGTGAGCATCTATTGTGCCACTCTTATCATCATCAAACAAATCAAATGTTTCCTTTTTAATGATTACATCACTTTTACTCTTAAATCATTGATTTCCTCTGGAGTCAAATAATTCTCCTTTGGCTTTTATGGTTTTACTGGTGCTTAAACCTTCTTATTTGGAGCTGGCTATTACTCAACCTATTTGTTTGTTCTAGACATATCTATTTAATAATTTTATTTATATATTATTCATTTTCCATATTAATCCTGATAAATTTTATTGAAAATCTCACATTTCCTTACTTATAATTCTAATCACTCTCTTTAATTAATTATAATTCATTATATTTAACTTCTCTTAAAATATGCCAATTCTTATTCATAAATAATAAGCATAATTAAATCTCCAATGATTTTTATAAACTCACTATTTATCTATTATTTGAGAATTATCTTCAATATAATATGAATATTTATTCTATTCACTAAAAAATATTCAATCAAAATAATCTTCTTGAAACCAATCCTTTATTACCAAATTGATTTTGAAAACTTTTTGTGATATGATAGATATTTATAATAACTATTACGAATAACATTTGAATTGATTATCACCACTATTATATCTAAAACAATTAATTAATATTATTATCTCTAAATTAATTAGAATTTATAGATTCTTTTCATATAAAAAATTTATACTTTTGACCTATATCAATTCTAAAAAAAATTTATATTTATTAGTACAACCATTATCATTTCTATTTCATCCATGTAATTACCTATTTCAATCTTTAGATTTCATTCCAAATTTTAAAATGTTACTTTTGAAGTGATTTAACATAGATACTAAATTATTTTTGTACAATACTGCAGTTAAAATTTATCACTATAGATGGAATATATTTCAAAAAGTTCCAATTAAACATTATTTATTAAATGCCTACAATATTTATAAATTTGTATTTTAATTCATTTTTTATTTGATTTAAAAATTTTAGTTCTTCATTTCTTTAATAAATTAATTCTAATTTCTATATCCAATATTGCAATATTTCTTCAAATATATCATATGTCTATGTAATAAATGGTTTTCTTTATAATAAGATTGTTTAGTGCAACAAATTTTTCATTATAATCTTCAAGACATTAAAATCTTCTGTTTGAGAGTGTAATGTTTATCTATCATCAAATATTTAATCAAAGAATTTCTGATTATATTAGCCTTTATTGATTCAATATATTTCATACTCAGCAAAAAAAAATTTTATTTTTCATACTTCTACGTTTTATTATTAATTAATTACTTTAATAATTACCTCTAAAATAATTAATTGATAAAAAACTTTAGTTCTTCAATTTATTCCAGTTTCTTTCCTTATATAATTTTTTGTAGTTCTACTATTAAATTATTTGTCTATCTAATAATTAATGCACATTTTATAATCATCAATTTTCATAGCAGTTTATTATAATTTTTGAATTATTTATAGGATTATATTTTATTTCTTCAAGTTTTTGTGTTTTTTAATTTTTCTTGCGGATATTATCTTTTTATTTATTTTTAGTCCTTTCCATCTTTTTTTTTCTACTTATTCTTTTATAGGCTTAATTTTTTAAAATATCTGAACCATTATCAAAAGGCCCTTTTCCTGAAAATAAGTACATATTTATCTAAATTGTTTTTATTTTACTCGACTAACTTCTTATTGAATTTTTTCTCATATATTAATTAAACTAACTTAAACCAAAGGTCTTAGATTCATTTTTGGTTCTTGGTATCTCTTATCTGTTGGCTAATAAGGCTCTTTTTCTGAAACTTAAAGAATATCTTTGTATAGCTAGACCTTGATGGCCTCAATTTAGGTTTATTATTCGCCATTATAATTTTAGAATAAATAATAATTACTCTATGTATTTCTTAGAATAATTAAAACACAATTTGATTGAAAGAAAAATTAATTTAAGCTATATAACCTGATAAAGAAAGAACAACCATATTAAAAATAATAAAAAGAATTTACAATTAAAAATAGTAGTATAAATTAAAAAAAGAATAATAAATAATATATAAACTTCATACTAGAGAAAAAATTTCAATATTAAACATCATTTTTGTTATATTTGAATATTATTAT